ATATTAGCAAAGTAATAGCTTTGAGAGTGAATGATTTAAGAAAACAAAAACAAACAAAAAAAACACTGAAATATCACAATAAAATATATGCTAACTAATCTATAGACTATTAAAAAAATTCTTAACTAGTGCTAAACATTTATTTAAATAAACATAATTCCTTAAAAACTGCAGACTACACATGGCAGAGCTTCAGATACATATAAGGTAAGAAAAGCTGCCTCAATTCTTTCACATGGGATCCTGGATTATGAATAAAACACGACAGTACACACTTACATTCCACGGCAATAATTGAGGCAATAGCAAACTAAGAAGCCAGAGCATCACAGCACAGATGATTGTATTTTTTTAACATGAAAGCTTAAGAATAGTTGTCAGAATGTTTTCAGCTCCTGACTAAAAGTTCTTTACCTTGATGGTAATGGTGTAGTGAAACTGTTATGACAATCAGTCCCATGTAGAGAAACAAACTATAGTTCTATACATTACAGGGATAAGAAGCTTGCATTAAGCTTTCTGCAAGTACCATATACATCAGATCACTACTCTTAGACTTTCAAACAAAACAACTCTACAAACATAAGTACAAATATATTTGAGAAAACTTAAGGTAAGAGGAACTCAAACAGCAAAGCAAACACAGTGCTACTTTTTAAATAGTACATAAAATGCTGAACACAAATTTGACTGAATAAGTTGTTTTTTAAAAGGCAATTTATCTTAGGTAATTTTGACATTTTAGGTATTTACTTGATTTGGGAAACAAATTCAATATTATGTGCCTACATATATTTTAGAGCTCAACTAATATTGGCAAGAACAGTCGGTCAGATTTGAGAGCACAAAGTTATTGTTGTTACCGTGGGAAGCTTTATATTCCTATTTGCTGGAACTGCACACAATTTTTGTCAAACTGTAGATAAAAGACTTTTCTTAATTAAAACGATAAATATCACAAAAATATCAAAGAGACTAAACAGCGAAACAAGTCAAAAAGTTCAATTCTTCCTTCCATATCAACAAAGGCACATCCTCTCTGATCACAGAAGTCTAAATTAATAATGACTTCATTTTTTCATTTCAACTCCCCAAATAAGAAAGAAAAGCGCAAACAAAAAGGGAAGTAACTATAGCTGCAATCAAATTATAATCTTAAATAACAGGAATGTAAAAATTCCTTATAAAGTGTTTTATAGACAGATATAACAAGAGATGTGATTGGGAGTACACACATTGACATCACAGGATAAGTCATGAAGCAAAGTACATACTATTACATGAGTAATATACTCGTTTTGTGGATACTAGTTGATAATCACTCTTGTTTAGGTGAGCTCTGACTGAATGAAAGCATAAACCTTAACAAAGCAACTCAAGCTTAAGACTAAATGACATAAATACTGATATCAAAATCAAGAGTAGACCAAGAGTAGAACACCTTATCTATTCACATTCAACCAAATAGAACAGTGCTTAGCAGAATCACCATCAATGTCGAGAATAAGCTAACGACAACAAAACAAAATGCTTAGAAACAGACGCGATAAAGCTAAATAAGTTGCAAATTGTGTCATTATATTCAGTCGACCATATTATGTCAAATGTAAAATTCAGTACATACTTATACATTTTATATAATATATCA